TCCGAAGAGCCAGGAGCTGTCCTCCCCCTCATTCCCTGCACACAAACACACACACCTCTACTCTACCCCCTTCCCCCGCAACCGGACTGAGACAATCTGTGACCATTTTGCACCAGGCCTTTGACAACATACTGTACACTCACAGTCAAAGGTATGTATACACACATGCACACACACATGTACACACATGGCATTCCTCTTAGCATCCTTCACTGCAGGATTCTGTTAATTCCCTCCTACAGATTAGGAGGCATGTTGCCAAACAATGCAGCATTTTACATCGGCCATTCGACTGGATACCACAGAGTGATGTACAGTCATTCCTGCAGTAGTCCAACTAAGGCCCTGTCTACACATAAACAGATATTTTCAAAAAAGGATATATTATCTAAAAAGTTTTGTCTACACAGTTATCGTTTTCAAAATATCTCTGTACACACTACAGTGCAAGCAGTCTCTTCTTCCTGAAGCTAGTGAAGTGCACAGGTTAATGTTACCTTTTTCAAATCTCATCACCGTTGATTCCCCTATGATATAGCCCCTTTTACTGTCAGTAAACAGTGTGACGGTTTTTGGTGGGCGCGGCTTAAAGCGCACTCTGGCACAAACTTGACTATTCGTAAATTTGTATCGCCGTCATAATGTACCATTCAGTTACTCAAAGCAGTTCACTCTTGGAGCAGCAAAATGTCGAGCGGAGTGAATGTGTGATTAACTTAACTTAGTGTAGAGCGTCACACTAAATATCTGAATGCACCATGTCAGGTCACCCACTCTCTGGGACCGCTAGTGTTACTTGAATAAGTAAACACTGACCAACGGGACCAGACTCGCCAACCCACATGCTCTCACTCAGTGGATGGATGGTTTGACGGGATTACTGAACGTGGGATGGCCGGCTTTGTGGTTGATTATTATGCCAATTTTACAAAGGAGGACGACACTTGAATGGTTTCCTCCAGTTTGTTTTGCTATCAAAGCTAATGTGCTAAAAAGTTAAGTGTTATGGAGAAATCCAACATTCCTCTTCATACCTCCCCAATTTCTGATTAGGTAGACATGATAACCCTTAATACACATAACGTTATTCATCCCTACAACAGGAAAGACTTTTTCCCTAACCTGATATGAAGTGTGCGCTGCCAGGGAGCATTTTTAATGAACGCCTCCATTCAGTCCTTTTGTCTTATTGCATTTACCCATAGTTGTCTTTGTTTTTGTTGACAGGCAGTGGCGGCTGGTACGGGATAAAATTTTAGACTCTTAAGTAGCCTATAGCCCTGAGAGTTTGTTTTGCCTCCAGCTAATAATATGGCATCTAAAAAGGTCCATAAGGACTGAGGAACTCACTTAATGATACAAGTGATGCTCTGGACATGTGAAAGTTTTCCTTTAACTCCTCATTGACAACAATCCCACTCTTGCAATCATCCAGCCATCCGCTGGTTCAACCAGGGCTGATTCAAAACTGTCATTTCTGGCAGCCCAAATAACACTGGGTGCATCCATTTGTGCAGAGGAGGTGCAGCAGTGTAAAGTTTAAATGAAAAGTCATCATTGGACAAAATAGTGCTGACAAAACGTAAGCAAAGTCTGCAGACATGCGCAAAATGAAATGACGTCATCGTTTCCCAAATGCTCCATTTCACGTCCTCACAGACACAAAGTAACCAGAGTTTTTTTTAAAAAAAATCTTTGTTTTAGTGATGTAAAGCTCAGTGTGCATGTGGACGAGACACCAAAAATCCGTATACGTGTAGAGGGCCTAAAGCTTTGCAGTTCTAATTGTGCACATTTTCTCTTGAATTGCATGATTGTCTGTGCATGTATATGCAGTGGGTATATAACATGTCAGGAGACTAAACGTAGCTCATTTTGAATCCACCGTGCAATCTTTGGAAATCAATGGGAGTCCCACTGAATATATTTTTTTAAAAAGGCGGTCACTTTGTAGATTTGAGGTTTTTATCTGATTTATCTTATTTTTATCTCCTGTGCTTGTTTCTGCTGGAGTAACCACAACACAAGCAGAAGCTGTGTCGGTGGACATCAGAGGCAGCTGCACGGACCCTCAGAGGACTGAACATCCCAGTCGAGGAGCCATCCTGCAACTACAAGCACAGATAAATAAATCATGAAGAAAGTTTTAAGGAAAGGATAGAAATAGAGCTGAGGACGTGCTGTTTGATTCAGACCGCCTTAAGACAGAATTCTAGATATGGATGGCATAAAATAGCAAGAATGATTAAAGCCGCTGATTTTTTTTCTCCAGTTTTTCTATTTCATGTGATATTAAAGCCAACGTTAAACATTAATAAACCATTTTTTGGCAAGGGTTCTTTGAATATTCATTTGGGAACTTGAAGATAATGTTCCAGTAGATTACAAAATTAAAATATAAGCGGTCAAAAATAATTTTAGAAATGCAACAATTCCCTGACAGTGTCCCGCTGTGATGGCTGTTAGACTATGTTGCATGAAAGGTGGTTAAACATTTAATTACTTGCATAAAGCAGGGATATGATTATTTTGCTGCTGCTCTTTGTTTCCCCTTGGTGGGTCTGAAATTGTAGTTATAAAAAACCTCTTGTTATGGTGCCTCTGTATCACTTCACATGGAGAGAGCAACACAATACAAAAAGCTCAGAGAAAAATTTCATTTGGCAAGGCTTCATGTGGAGGCAGGAGGTGGAGGGTGACTCAAAAGATGAATAAATGAAAACAGAAGCAATCAGTTTTTCCTAACTGTAATTTCAGCAGAGATATCAAACTCAGTCAGTGCAACGTTCATTTTATTCATCAGGATTTCATAAAGCTCTGCAGAGAGAAGAAAAAGGGGGAGGATTTGAATATTTATGTACTGTGCAGGTTTGTCAGTCTCACATGGTCGGTCTGTGCACTAGTTGGGGTTTCCCCCACTGTCTGCAAGCAGCGCGATGAGGTCATCGTTAGGGTTTAAGCCCTACACGAGCTTAATCTGGGAGATAAGGGCTGGATTTGGATTTAGCACTCAAAAAGGGTCATGTAGCTACAACCATTATGACTGTCACAGTAAATACGCAGCTCAGACGCGGGATCGCCAGCTGTTCCACAAACGCACATCTTCCCCAGTGTCAGCCAAATAGTTTGACTCTTGGAAGATTCTGCGGTGTTTACAGTGATTTCATGATCTCCCAGTTGGCCTGCAGAGTTACGCTGGCATCCATTCATGCTGGATTTCTCTGACTTGAATGTGTGAGCTGTGTGATTTGGGAGTAGTGAATGAGTCCCATTTTCTTTTTTATTGTTCCTGCTAGGGCTGGCACAATATCAGATTTTCACTGTGTGATTTTCACAATAATGATAGTATCACAATATCTGAAATTTTGGAAGAAAAAAAGTCAAATTCATCTTTAACTTTGTTTATTGTGTATTTTATCTCTTCTTGTGGGGAAATTAATTACACTCAAAATACAACTGTAGAGAGTTGAAGAGGGAAACAAAGCAGGAATGGAAAAGAGCAAATGATTTAAAGGTCCAGTATGTAGGATTTAGGAGGCAGAGATGGAATATAATTATGTTTTCTTCAGTTTATAATTTCATGAAAATAAGAAGTGTTTTTGTTCCCCTTAAAATGGGCTATTTATATCTACATAGGGAGAGGGACCTCGTTCATGGAGTTCATTTTTCAACAGTAGCCCAAAACGGACAAACCAAACACCAGCTCTAGACAGAGCCATTTGCGTTTTTCTTTTTCACATCAGCCACTGTAGTTTGCAGCCCCTCCACAACAAGAGGGCCTGTAAAACAATGACTTTTTTAAAACGTGAAACTGCTTTATTCAGTGCTTTATGGGTTTTGATCACCTGGTCTCTTTGTTTTAGTGAGGATGAGACCTCTGCAGATCATTTGGCTCCCAGATAAAACCTCCTCAACATCTCGATAAGAAATAAGATGAGCACACATTGCATCATCACAGAAAATAGGCGAGTACACTTCAGCAGGCGCTGGGCTAGCAGCATGGCAAACAGCATTGAAGAAACATTGATTTGTAACATGAAATTGCTTTGTTTAGTGTTTCTACTGGTCTAAATCTCCTGTTCCATTTGGTTTTGAGAGGAGGAGACCTCTGCAGATAATTCGGCTCCTGGTAAAAACCTCCTGAACAAGTGGCACCCCTAGTATGTACTAAAGGCTTAGAGTGATGGTTTCATGTCAATTGCCTGTGAAATTGCTCAACAAAACTCCAAAATATTCTAAAATTGTAATGGTTGTTTGGTTTTGATGTGTTCAAGTGCACAAATTTCATCTTAAAAGCTGTGAAAAGACAGCAAAATGATTTATCGAATTAATATCTAGGATTTCTCCAATATTACACAGTACAAGTGTTTACTGCCAGTGACTTTGTGATTTTGTTTGAGACAGAAAGGTCATAAGCAGCACTCTGAATGTGGTTTCTATGACTTTGTGGTGTCTTGTAAGCCTGTGTTTGCATAGTTGTATTCATGACACAAGTATATAAACTTAATTTATTCATGTATGTTGGCAGGAATGCCAGGCCTTGGAAATAGCACCTGAAATAATAGCTGTATAAACCGTTGAATATATTCCCACAGTGGGATTTATGCTGGAATATGACAGTTGTTTGAACGAGTGGGATGTTTTATTTCATTCAGGTTAATTAAAGTCGCTGAGGGAAACAAATCATGCCCGGGGAAAGTCCCATTTAGGTCCTGTGCCGTCCCACTCTCCCTGTATGAGAGAAATGGGTCAGTAGAGATTGGAGAGGATAATAATAAAAAACGACCTGCCGTCCTTCCTTCGTGTCCCCTCCGTGGCAGACGGAGGAGTGCTCACAGATTATGCACCAATTACACGCGATACAGCCGGCGTTAATAGGGTTTGAAGGGATTTACACGGCGCTGTCCAGGCAAATGCGGCATGCTTTGGGGATGACATCATTTTGATCACCTCACACCGGCTGACCCCCCTACCTCCCTGCCTAAGACTAACCTCACTCGCTCACAAACCCGTTTTTACCTGCGGTTGTCCCGTGTCTCACCGGACTGCGCTCGTCACAGCACATTTCTCCGCTGATAGGAGGACTCTGCTGCCCCCCTCCTCTCCTCTCTCCTCCAGCTCCACTGTCGTGTTTACTATAGGTGAGACAGGCCGTATAAATTCCTGAGTGTGCGCAGATCGCATCCTCAGAGGAGAATGGAAAAGAAGAAGGAGGAGGAGGAGGTGTAAGGAGCAGGAAAAACAAGCGAACCAAGGGAGCGGGGCTGTAGATGTGTTTACTGCTCACTGCTGGGAGAAGCGCAGGAGGAGACGCAGACTTCCAGTCATCCAGGGCGGAGAGACATCAGTGGATGCAGAGAGGAGGCGGAGGAGGAGGAGTGAGCGTGGATGCTGATTATAGAGACAAACCCAAAGAGGACGAATTATCAGGCGGTTGTTATTAATCATAGACTATTAAGTGGAATAAGCTTTTGCAGTCAGCGATGGACTTTAGCTGTGCGCACTGAGGTAGGAAACGTTGGCTTTATATTGGCAGCATTCAGTCGGATGCGAAGGCACATCCTCTCTAGCTTATCCCATCCCTAAACAACCCACCCCCTTCTTTATTATTCAAATATAAACTGTAATACTGTGTTTGACTGTAACTTGAGTGTTGTCAGTGATGCTCCACCGGTGCGCCGGGGATCTTAGCCGCAGCAGGAGGTGCGAGGAGACGCGATGATGCGCACACAAGAAACCCCTCCGACACATCCACAATGCACTGGCCTGCAACAGAGCGTAGCCTGCTCCTGCAGCTCCCGCAGCTGATACCTCCAAATAAATCAAGTGGGAGCCGGAGCAGGACTATTATCAGGCAGGATCAGTCGGATGTGAATGATTATTCCAAATTTTAGACACCAGATGTGTCTCAGTGGTTTGGTTTCTCTCTCTGCGGAAAATTATAATGACTTTGAGCTGTATGGTTTGGTTGATGCATCCTCCAAGCTGTCTCGTTTTTGACTGTATCTACATGATTTCTCTCTCCATGTATTATAAATTATGGATGGTTACACACAGCTATACCTTGGGCTGGTACCTCATACATCAGATTCCAAGTGCATTACTTGTGGTGAGACTAATTGCCACAGTAGGGTGGTCGATAGTCATAATAGCATGTTAATAAATTTAGTAATTTGACAAAATGACCTTCAAGCTGATACAACAGCAGATGTGAGATACCTTAAATTCCCCTCGAAATGAGTACATGATAACCGGCTCCATGTTTGGGATTTTCTCAAAGAAAACACATGTTTGTTTTGCACAGCAGGACAGACATGCTGCCACAGTTAAGGGTTTTGATCTGTATCATTATTTTACAAAGCCGGTAAAACCTGTCACCTCGTAGTCGCTCCTGTCAGAGATAGCAGAGGAGGAGTGGATTTCTTAAAAAGGCCCCTGACAAGAAATAATGCATTTTCATTCTCAGCTGAGCGTGTATGTGCTGTCGTCCTTGGAGAAATGACAAGCTTTGAAGAGGCTTGCCGAATTCTCTCGTTATTACACAGCCATCATTTGATCTCATCCATTTTAATACACCGGTGATGCTGCTCCAGCAGGATGTAAATAACCAGCTGTGGCACCAGTCTGCCTGTAAAGGTTTGTCAATCAGGAGTGTGCTAAACCAAAAGCAATGCAATATTATATGTAATATTCTGTAAGATGTAAGGAAGTCACTTAATTGAGGTACTGCAATGCTGTGGCTCCTATGTGAGGTTGACAAGTTTGCCCTATGATAGAGGGGGTCTGATATTATTTGTTGTGCACTTCATTACTGGGGGGTTTATGATTTATGGTCCAGACAGGCTGCTCTTTTGTCCTTTATCCGCATGTCCTGAATCATGTTTCACATTCTTGTATTGATTTGATATCTTCAGAGATCAGACACCATGACTCATAAGTTAATGTCATTGTTCTGTTCACTAGATACGAGGGTTGCAGTGAAAGCGTATACTGTGGTATGAAATTTGACAGTTATCATACCGTGTACATTTGTCTATCTATGGTAACCAGATGGAGAATCTCACCTGCATGTGGCCATCTCCTTTCCTCCATGACTGCCTGTCAGACTTTATACACGTTTTTATTTTCAATAACTGGTTTACAGTTTAAATTGTAATAAGGCATTTGATCAACCTTCAGTGTTAGTTTATTTAAGGGTCTTTGACAAATAATAATTGTAATAATAATTGTGTACCGTGACACCATGATGTTCTTTGAGAAGGTTATCATACAGTGAAAATCTCATGCCATTGCAACCCAACTAACATGCAGTGACAACCACTATGATCTTATCTTGATTATATATTTAATTGTACAAATCCATTTTGACATCTGTGTTGTGAGAAATGGAAAAATATTGAATTACGATTATTCTCTTCTATGCTGATAATAAACAGTTTAGTAAAACTGCCAGTTTTTTGTTGTAGTGTTCTCCCACTATAGACCCCTGCACAGTCCTTTCAGTCCTTAGAAAGTTGCAAAGCACTTTCTATAATAAACTGACTTGAGCCAGAGGAGCATCAGACCTATGGATGCGCATGTCTTTGATATTGATCACAGCTTAAGGGAGGTTTGCCTTCTTGTCTGTCTGAATTTGCAGATGATTCAGAGCTGCATGGCTCAGAGCTGCAGTTCTTGGGTAGCCACTCCGCTGAGATCCCCTGCCACTTATGATAACTTATAGCTCAAGGTTGTACTTATAGGAGGCCTAAATAATATTCCTCCAGAGATGACACTTTCTTACAGACTCCGCATTTAGCTGAATCAGCCTTCATGGCTCCCAGCAGGCAAGAGAAGGCTTTTAAATTTGATTTGATTCTTAACAACTTCCCCTTCTCTTTTTCCCTCTTCCTCTCTCTCTGTGTTTGGTCTTGTCAAGGCTCCCTGTTCTCTCGTTGTTCTGACGACCACAGGCCCTCATGGCTCTCGTTCATGAACCTCGTGCCCCCTCTCCGTCTCTCTCCGGCTTCAACACACCCCTCTCCGATCCTCCATCCTTTCGCCGCCTCGATGCCGAAACACCATGCACTCCAGAAATGGACCTGACGCCGACCCAGTGCGTCTTACGTAATGTCCTCTCCATAGACACCGGTGGTGCCGTCGAGCCCGGGGGTGGAGGAGGAGAGGGGCAGACTGCCGGGCACAACCAGACACCAGGCGAGGAACAACAGGAGCACTTTGCCAACAGTGTCCTGAAGCTCCACGAGCATGATGGGAGTCCCGGAAGGACGGAGGGAGAGGGGCAGGAAATGGACAGCAATGCCGTCAGGAGCCAGGCGGATGACGCCAGGCTACAGTGCCAGTCTACTGGGGGAGGGTTTCTGGAGGGGTTGTTTGGGTGTCTGCGGCCCGTCTGGACTATGATTGGCAAAGCCTATTCTACAGAGCACAAACATGGCCTGGATGGTAAGTCAAATCCATTTCAGTAGAAACACATTTACACACACTGGCATTAATGGTCGCTTATAGTTTTCCAATAAAAGCAAGCACCAACTCCCATTTAATTCCAGTCCGAAGCTTTGATATGCTAATTAAATGAGCTTATCCCCCACTTTAATTACATTAAACAGTTGGTAGAAAAATGACTCCCACAAAGGCCATGTTGTAAACAAACACTTTCCTTGACGTGAAGAGCTGCAGCCAGAGAGCGAGAGACTCTATCAAAGCTGCAAAGGGCTTATTTTCCCCTGATATTTTCCCCCCACATCCCTTCGCCTGCTCGTGCCCACCCCACCTCCTCCCCACTACCACCCCCCAGTGAAACTAGCTCCCTGTGACGCTGTGTTGTTTATGTCTGCGGCCACTACAATAGCGCAGAGCTCCCCCGGGACTCCTCTGCCAAATCTGCTCCATGAATTATGCATGGCCACGCTCTGACCCTGCGCCTCTCATCTCTATTAACGCAAACCTGACACACGCACACACACATATGGGAGCGCAAGTACGACTGCAAGCACACATAAACACATCCACAAATAAAAACATTTAGCCCTGACACAGACACATAAAGTTAAGATGAGAGCCAGAAACAAACTTGATAGGATAAATTCGCATCTGGCTTGAAGGTGACAGATTTATAAGTCTCCTTGTCTTTACATCTTTCTGATATTTTATCACCCGTTTGACTTCCACATCTCCCCTCCACTCCCCTCCTCCTTCCATCTCTCATTGTCTCCTTTCCTCTCCTTTTCATCCTGTGCTGTTATCACTCCCAGCCCATCTGCACCTCGCTGCTCCCCTCCTCCGTGCGGCATCACAGGGAGTCACACACACACACCAAGGAGAGCAAAACGGATATTATAAAAGTGACATAAATAGGGGTACTGCAACTGAATGCCATATCACAATGCTCCATTCTTAAGCTGTGATTGGAAGGCACAATGCAGCACAATAGAAAGCAGGAAAACTGTCCGTCCTTTATTGATTCTGAAGGACTGTGGGGTTACTGGCAATGTTCTAAATGTCCTCAATTTTTAGATCAAACAAAGCAGACCTGGTGATATTCTGGTGTGTCAGATTCGGCTTTATGTCTTTACTGTGAGGGTCTCATTAGAGGCCGAGTCCTCAATCTATCACCAGAGAGCATAAATCATTCATATCATCCTTATTAATATGACAAATGTCTCTAAATCTTCTTTCCGCCAGTTAAGAACAGCAGCAGGATGGGCTGTATATTTTCTGTATATTAACAGTCTGTCTTTGGCAGCACGGACCCCTGCCGACCCGTGGGGAATCCCTCGCCCTCCTTTTTTCTTTACGCACACACATACAGAGCTACCATCCGCATTAGGCTCTCAAATCCGCTCCCTCTTCAGCCCCCCCTCTCCTTAGCGTTGGACCCCTGTTTCGCGTCAGCCCCACAATGGCACTAAGCAGGATTTAGGAGGCTGAGGGAGAATTACCCACAGGAGATTAGAGCTCCCTGTCTGTCTGCATACAGACCCAGAGCCTTAGGTGAAGGTGAGGTTCAACAACCGCAAAATATATCAACTTAGGCTCTGTGTTGACTGTGAAGAGCCAGGGCTTACAACAGGTTTACTGTTACACATCTAACCCATTCTTCTGTGCTGTGTACACCCTGCTACTATCTTTAGTTCACGTACAGGCTCTCTGATTGTTTTTCCCTGTTGTGATTTTAATGTCTAAACTTTTGATTATAAAGTTAAAGCAATAAAGTATTAGAAAAGCAACAACAAAACAACAATCAACAATTTAACTGACACACTACAACCAAGACAATCAACGCACAATCAGAAAGAAGAATACACTAATGAACGCAACCATTCGATGGCCATAGAGAGGCCATGTACAAATGTTTGCTATAATACAGAAAGGAACAAATAAATATAGAAGATACAGTATATTATAGGTACAGAATAGGAGAATCTGAGACATCTGAAACTTAGGGAGATATGTATAAGTATGTTTTCTCGTGTATAATCACCTGAAAATAAGGATTGTTAAGGGTTTTTTTGTCTTGAAATGAGCCATTTATATCTACATAGGGAGCAGGTCCTCGTCCACAGCGATCGCCATGTTGCACCATGATGTTTCTACAGTAGCCCAGAAAGGACATTGAGCGTACATTAGCGAGTGCTAGGCTAGCGGCCATCTGCAATGAGCCAAACACCGCCAGAAAAACATTGAGTTGTAGCGTGAAACTGCTTTACCCAGCGATGTTAGCAGTTCAAATCACCAGGTCCATTTGTTTGAGAGGAAGAGACCTCTGTGGATAATTGACTCCTTGTAAAAACCTCCTGAACAATGAACACTGAAGGAATTCACAAGGGAGAAGTCTTAGCTGGTTGCAGTTTGCAATCCTCAACACTAGTTGCCACTAAATCCCATGCACTGCTCCTTTAGAACAAGAAGAAAGTCACTTCTAAACATGAAAAATGATAGTAAGGATCATATGTTTGAAGTTATTCCAGTCTGAAGAGCCTTAAACTCTGTCTTTGCATTTAATTTAATGATCTATTAGGGAATGTGGTACCAAAAACTGTTGTAGGATAATGGAGATGTAGCTATACATGTAAAAGATGAGTTACAGCCAGTGAATGTGTCTTCTTATATTGAGTGGAGGCCATTGAAGTTACACAAGCAACATCCAAAAACAGATCTACAGAGATTATTGTATGCTATATTGAGGGGTAGAAGGTTAGCTGCAGGTTAGCTACTTTTTCTATAGATATTTGGACGAAATTAGCGTTTTGTTTTTTAATTTTATGAACATAACGTCTCATCATGTCGACAGATTAAAAGAATAGGTCGACATTTTTGAGAAAAAGCTTATTTGCTTACTTGTTGAGAGATGAGAATATCCTCATGTCGGTATGGTAAATATGAAGCTAGCATTAGCAGCCAGTTAGCTTAGCTTCGCACAAAGACTGAAAATAGGGGGAATCAGCTGGCCTTGCTCTCTTGAAAGGTAAAAAATCTGCCTAACAGCCCCTCTAGAGCTCGCTAGTTAACACATTATTTGTGGTTTGTTTAAATTATACAAAAACCAAAGAGTATAAATGACACCTTATGGTAATGGGGGTTATGTGCTGGTCTATTTCTTGAAGTTGTCAGGCAAATGGGGGATTGAACCATGAAAATATAATCTTATTTGATGAGATTTAGGTGGTGGTTGGCAGTTTTTGTTCCCTTCAATGGAGCTAGGCTAGCTGTTTCCTCCTGTTTACAGTCTGTATGCTAAGCTAAGCTACGCTAAGCTAACCAGCTGCTAGCTGTAGCTTCATCAGAGATACTGGATAGAGGAGATACCCCACCATAGGCTTATCCAATGTTAAGAAAACGGTTACTCTTCCTGTCTCCTAAGTGGGCGTGGTTAGCTCTCCCTCCAATCAGAGCCTGTTCTCCCTCACCCCCTCCACCACCGTGTTGAACAGAAGCTCTGTGGATGTCTGTGTATGCGGATCAAGAAGCAGGTGGAATGAAAATACATTTTTCCTATTATTGCAGCCTATTGCTGCACAAAGCTTGGGCATTTTTTATTTATTACTAGCGGTAAATAACTGTTTGTAAGCTAACTGTGATTTTACCGCCTGTTTATCGAGATCACGAGATCTCGCGAGAACTTGTTTTCTGAGATGGACAGGGCTCAAACAAAGTTAACTTTCTCTTGATCTGTGCGGATGAAAAATGCAGCTTTAGTGTCAGAATGTTGGTAAGATGTGTGGCTTGTGGAAAATGAACCCAATATTTACTTTAGTGACTATAGGGCAAAAGAATTGACCATAAATTGTGATCACGTTCATTTTCCTCATTGACGACAATACATTCAGAGCTGCCGCAAGTCTCCTATGGGGGCGTGGCGCTGACATCACTGAATCAGGAAGTGAGCTGAGTGGGGTATCTCGCTTTATCCAATATCTCTGGCTTCATATAGACTGGACAGACATGAGAGTGCTATCAGTCTTCTTATCTAAATGTTAGCAAGAAAGCAAATATGCTTATTTCCAAAAATGTCAAGCTATTCCTATGAAGACAGTGACTTCAAAATAACTCATGTAGACTAGTTACCTTTGTAACCAGACATGTCTGTAATAAAGCGATATGAGTCACTCATGAATCATCATTACTCATTGCCGCAGTGATTAATAATTGTCTGGTGTGCAGTTATGTTTTGAAACAACAGCTTCCTCATCCAAGTTGGTGAAAATAACCTGCAGTCGGTGCTTTCAGGTTAATTATCACCCTACTCTATATGCATGACTGGCATGCTACTACACCGATAAACTCAGCAACTACTTTGCCTTGTTTTTTTCCCAATCTCAGAGGCGTGGGAGGTCCCATTCGAGGAGATATCTGACCTGCAGTGGGTGGGCAGCGGGGCCCAGGGCGCCGTCTTTCTGGGCAAACTGCACGGACAGGAAGTGGCTGTAAAGAAAGTGCGGAACATCAAAGAGACGGACATCAAGCACTTGCGGAAGCTCAAACACCCCAACATCATCACTTTCAAGTTAGTAGGAATGATAAGCTGGCTTATTAGATCACAAGATGCACAACCAAAAACCTTTTCCATTTATTACTGTGACTATAACAACTCTAATCTGTTCTATCTGCACTTCTCTACACTCTCAGAGGTATTTGCACCCAGGCTCCGTGTTACTGCATCATCATGGAGTACTGTGCCCAGGGACAGCTGTATGAGGTGCTGAGAGCAGGCAGGAAGATCCAGCCCTCCCTGCTCATGGACTGGGCCATGGGCATCGCCGGGGGCATGAACTATCTTCACCTCCACAAGATCATCCACAGAGACCTCAAGTCACCAAAGTGAGTTTTTTAGACCAGAAGTAAATCAATTGTGTGGTTACAACTCTCTAATTCAAACGTGAATGATAATGTTGAAGCAAACAGGTCACTAAATAGTTACGGTTAATGGAGCTGTATGTGACATTCAGAGCATATCTATGATTTAGAGTTTGGGGCAGTATAGTCTTCACTCAGCTCTCAACATGGAGGTGGCTAAGCTGGTGGCTAGCAGCTAATGATGCTAACTCAATAAACAGTGCTAACAATTGCAACAGTGCTGACAGAGCTAACATTGTTGACCTGGGAGGAAACAAGATGATGGGTGCTATGCTTCTACAATGACGCCATCGTGATTGCAAATTTGCAAATCCTAGAATAGTAAAGGAATGGTTTGCTTTCCTTTTTTTTAACTTTACTGCCTCTGATTGGCTTATTTTGACATTCTTATCTTAACCTTAACCAATTCCACTCCTCTTCCCTAAACCTAAATAATCCAACCAACAAAGGCAACGAGTACTAGCCAGACCCTCAGATTTATCTTGTTACCTGCAGTGGGGGTCTTACTGCTTTACAAAATAAAATTGATTGGCCAAATTTAGATGCTCAAATTACTTGGCAAATTTCTAACTCTGCAAGACATTAAGTGCCACACCACATGACTCCAGTGATCACTTACTGGCCTAATGATCGGTTTGAATAATTATACAATTAGTTTTGAGCTGATTTTGCTGTTTTGCAACCAGATGAACTCAAATATAAACTTGACGTCCAATATTTCATTCCAGCATGCTGATCACTTACGACGACGCAGTAAAGATTTCTGATTTTGGTACGTCCAAGGAGCTCAGCGACAAGAGCACCAAGATGTCCTTTGCCGGTACGGTGGCCTGGATGGCTCCTGAGGTCATACGCAACGAACCTGTCTCAGAGAAAGTGGATATTTGGTAGGTGTCATAACCCTTTATACGCAGTCCTTTTGCACTTGTGATCCTTTGCAATTTTCCCTTATCATTTGTCTTGTCTGTCATGGAATCAACATAGAATCTCATTAGTTGCAGCCTACTACAGTAAAGAGCGCAGGATCCTATTTCCAGAAAATCTATCGAGTATTATGTGCAATATCTCATTACATGAAATTCTATAGGGCCTCGGCCATATCTGATGGGTTGCCCTGTGTTAAGCCCTGATCTTCCCCAATACATCTCCCCTCCCTGTCTCTCTCATCCTACATCCCTCCATCACTCTTCCTCTTCGTCCTGAAAGGAACGCCAGCTAATTTAATAATTGATTTGCCAGATGCTGCAGTGCTCAGGAGAGGGCTGGAATAACCTTCCAAGCCTGCGGATGGTTTGGCCCCAGGCCAGCAGTGCATTAGCAGAGAAGTGAAAATAGGATTAAAAAGCTTTTCATGTGGAAAGAAAGCAAAGCATGCATGTAGACTCTACAGTTTTGTTTAAATGTATGTAAATTATGTTGTAGTCCACAAAAACAGTGAGAGAAGCAGAGGCTGTGTTGAAGTATTAGGTTGTGTTTATTTTGTCTTGCTTTGTGCTGACATACTTTGACAGATGGTACAACTCCTCTTCCTGTCTGATTATATTATAGACAAACTATACAAAGGTAGCCACAGGTAGAATTAACATAACCACATTTTAAAGTGAATTAAATTTACCGAATAAAATGTAACCTTTCTTGACTTTAACTCAATTCAATCCACTTCTATTTATTCCTGTAAGGGTGATTTTATGCAGCAGCTCACCACTTAGGTCAACAAATAAACACACAATAAATTGCAGAAGGAAGAAAAAAACGCTGTTAATTGCGAAGATTAACAATGAATTAAAGGCTGTAAACTAAAACCTGTTTGTGTAACTGGTAGTAAATAAATATAGATGTCTAAAAAACAAAACAAAAAACGACATAAGAAAATGTTAGTTACTGTAACACCAGCGCATAGGCTCACAAAATGGAAACTACATATTGACTGGCCGTTTTTTATTACATTGTTTTAGTGAGTCACACACATGAGACTGCAATAAATCAAGCTAATAAAAAATGTGTCAGGAGAGGTCAAGAAGCCATAAGCTTATTCAGCAGCCCTCCCCTTAATTTAGAGGTTCAGTGTGTAGGATTTAGGAGGCTATACTAGCTGAAATAAAATATAGTAAGTATGTTTTCTTTAGTATACCTTAAAATAAGACTCGTAGTGTTTTGCGTTACCACAGAATGAGCTGTTTATATCTAAATAGGTCTCTCTCTCCCTCCTTCACGCTTAACTGTCCTATCTATAAAGGCAAAAAATGCCCAAAAGATATCTTAAAAAAAAGGAAAAACACTTATGCGTAACATGAAACTGCTTTATTCCATGTTTTCATTGTTTTAATCACCTGTATTTTAAGTATAATGCATTACTTGTATATATATTACTTTATATATATCTTTATTTTACTACTTTAAGACACTGAATTGACAAACGGGCAACTTATTATATTACTGAATGATATCACACTGTACAGAAACAAATGAATAACCTAGTTGTAACCCATCATCTAGTCAACAGCTAATATTTAACCTGGTGGTAAAAAAAACAACAACACATACAGTGCCTTGAAATAAACTCCCTCATCTTATATCCCAAATCATAAACAAGGAGACAGAGAGACTCTAAAAATACACATGTAAACACAACCTCACACACCTCCTCAATGCTGCATGTGATGCTATTGGCGCCTAGGATACTGTATAGGGTCACCATGGCAACCCAGAGAGTCACCAACCAACAACAGACTTTCCTTAGATACCTTCCCCATGGGCCTGCAGTCTTGCTCCCCCAACAAACAGAGGTAGAGCTGGATGTCATCAATGAAACACTGGTGTAGTGAAATACAGCAACATGTTTTGGATTCATACGTGACCAATTACTGTATGTTTTGAGCTGTGATTTATTCATCAGGGCATAAATAAAAAATAAAAACATGCGTATGTACATCGAAGCAGTTGCTATGAATCAGCAAGACACTGTGCCTTATTTGTACCTTAAGATCCCAGTGATAGAGAATTGTTAGCAGTCACAAAACTTTGCATAGTACCAAACTGATTACACATTGATGACATTAGAAGGGACAGTTCACCCGAAAATCAAAAATGCATATTTTACCTCTTACCTGTAGTGCTGTTTATCAGTCTAGATTGTTTTGGTGTGAGCTGCTGAGTGTTGGAGATATCAGCTGTAGAGATGTCTGCCTTCTCATGAATACAATGGAATTAGATGGTATTCGGCTTGTGGTGCTCAGTGCAGCAAAAAATACATTTGAAAAACTCAACAGCAGTGTCTCTTTTCATAAATCATGACCCGGTTACTCAAGATAATCCACAGACCTTGTTGTGAGCAGTTTCATGTAGGAACTATTTTCTTTCTACCAAACTACACTTGCCAACTGTATCACTGCAAAGAAGGAAGCGTGCATTCACTGCGAGCTCACTGTAATCTTCATCAATGTGTCTGACAACAAACAATTCCACATATCTCTGCAGGTCATTCGGTGTCGTGCTGTGGGAGATGCTGACAGGAGAGGTGCCCTATAAGGACGTGGACTCCTCCGCTATCATCTGGGGAGTGGGCAACAACAGTCTGCATCTGCCTGTACCTGATGGCTGTCCAGACAGCTTCAAACTGCTGCTGAGGCAATGCTGGTGAGTAGAGGGGAGGGGAGGGAAGAAGGAGGCAGAGAGAAATGGAGAAAAGAGGGATGATATGAAAAAAGAAAGTTGAAGCCTCAGCACTGAGAATATATTGAATTTATAAGCTGTAGGAATGCTGAGAGAGTAAAAGTTGTCTATTTTATTAAGAGGAAACTCATTTTAACAGAGGAAAGGTAATTTTCTTCCATGTTTCTTGTAGGGACTCACCGAATAGTAGCTTTACTCGCAATGCTGACATTCGAATTCTTAATGAATACTTTAACAGCACCATAAATCACATGTATTCATTGAAGGCCCAGTGTGTAGGATTTAGGGGGATATACTTGCAGAAATGGAATATAATATAAAAAGTATGTTTTCTTTAGTGTCTAATCACCTGAAGTGGTGTTTATGTCACCATACAATGCGCCATTAATATCTTTATTGGGAGCGGTCCTCTTTCTATGAGTACACCATGTTCCTACAGTAGCCCACAGTGGACAAACCAAACACTGGCTCTAGATGGGATTATTTGTGCTTTATTTATTCAGTGTTTTTGCTGATTTTAATCACCTGGTCCATTTGTTTTGGAGAGGAGGAAACCTCTGTGCATCATTCAGCTCCGTGTAAAAACCTGCTGAATGTCTGGATCTTAAGTTATTAGAGAGAAAAGGTGAGCACAATTTTGCAGCCGCTAGGCTAGTGTCGCATCTCTGAAAGGTTTTAATCACCTAGGGTCTCATTTATAAAACAATGCGTAGGATCCATACTAAAAATATACATAGACACAAAACCAAAAAATGGTGTGCACAAAAAATATTTGACAGTTTCTACAACCAGGCCGTCTCCAAAATGTTCATAAGCATGGGTCAAAGTTTCTCCCATCAAGTCTGTTTTTATAGATCACAAGAGGTGGTGTATGCCTCTTTCAGGCCTCGTTTTGTGCATATGCAATATTTATAAATGAGACCCCTGGTCCATTTGTTTTGTAGAGGAGGAGACGTCTGCAGATGATTTAGCTCCTGGTAAAAACCTCCTGAGCAATAAACACTGAAGCTGCTTGCAATCTGTAGTCCTCACCACTAGATGCCACTAAATCCCCCTTGATTTTACACACTGCTCCTTTAAAGAAAGTGAATTTGACAATAAAAAAGGACAAACTCATTTATTCCAATGAATTACTTAATTCAAATTGTGTTTGAATGAACATCGTTTTCAAGGATTTTTTATTTTTTATTCATGGTGATGACATCATAAAATATGACGACAGACGTTCAAGCTTCATTCAAAAATTTCAATAGAAGCTTCAAAAAGATATTCAGTACAGCCCTAGTTTTTTTTTTCATCTCTGACAAAACATTTGTCGAAATTGTCCACAGGAACTGCAAGCCAAGAAACAGGCCTTCATTCCGACAGATTCTCCTGCATCTGGACATCGCCTCAGCAGATATCTTATCGACTCCACAAGAAACCTACTTTCAGTCTCAGGTAAGCTTCCTTTATCTCTGCCAGCAGTCAGAAGCTACTTTGATATCCTAGTGATGGGTAAAACTTGATTTAATTACATTTTTAGACAGACAGTTTAGACAGTACAGAGAAAGGCAGAGACAGAAAAGGAGGATGACGTCAAACAGCACCTAATTCACAGTCTTGTTCAAACACTGTATGTGTACAATTAAGAAAAATATGATTAAGAACCGTAATTTCTCAAGTCACAGTCTCCCTTGTCAAATAGATATAATAAATAGACATCAGATGAGGTATACATATGCTATATATGTCTCTTCCTCCTGTCAACAGTGGCCAGTATCTCCAATAGTCATTTTGCTGTCACCCCGCTGCCATTTGTTTCCAGTCTGCTGCAGTAACTGCAGGCAGTGCAGCTGCACCGGGGGCCCCAGGCCTCTCGGGAGCCCTCTAATAATACCTGTCCTCTCAGTCACAACATATTATTGCTTTCTTGGTCTTTGTTCTTTGTCACATGTGAGACATTTTTTGACCTTCTTTATATCAAAGCGTGATGGAGAAGGTCTGTGTGATTGAGAGGGAGGGTGTGCCCGTGATAGGGTGGGGGATGGGTGGGGGGTCAGGCCAATGACAAATATGTACGACCACTGCGAGCCCACACAGATGAAGGACAGGAGAGGTATAATTGTGTGGAAGATATGTCTTTACTCAGCCGTGCAGAACCACAGATCCATTTATAACTCAAGCGTGTATAATTGTGAGGCACACAAGCACACAAACTGAATAAGATTTCATTTCCCCTTCGCAACAGCCCACCGCCTCTTCCTTCTTTTATACCTCATGATGCAAAATACAAACCTCTTTCACTCTCTCCACTTATCCTTGATCCTTTATTTCTCCCTGTTCCCCTTCCCTCCCACTGCAGCCCTCCCCAGTTTCTCTCCTCTCTGCCCCATAATGGATTTTTCTTGTGACGTTAGAAAGAAGTATTTGCTGTTGGAGTGTATTGATTGCTTTAATGGTAGGGCGCAGAGAGCAAAGAGAGAGGAGAAAGAGGGGACTGGAGGCATAGAAGAGTGCACACAAGAGTCCATTAGCTTAATAAGAAGAGCATCATTCATGCACAGAAAGAAATACACACACACACACACACCAGTGGTGCACACACATGCATGGACGTGCACAGGCTCATATATCAGACTTCCTTTGTCCTTTGATATGACAGGTATCAGATAACAGCTGTCACGCTCCGCTGTGTACAAGAAAATGCCCACGCTGCATCTTTTTTTGTGCTCATGTCATGTCGGTTCATGTTCAGTTCGCTCCTTGTGTATTGATCATCATCCGACAGCTTAATGGGTTCTGTTGCACACGAACCCTCGGTCGCTCTGCAAATTAAGAGCTTTTTTACTCTATCAAGGTGCAACGGAGTTTATTCTCAATATTGATATCATTTGTTGTTGATATAATTACTCAAATGAAGTCTAGTCATACTTTATTATCCCAGTGAAACACACAGGAAATGGCAGCAGTTTCGAAAAGCACAGTGCGCACACAGAGTGGATTATCCATTAATTGGAAGGCCAGTGGTTCAATCCCCAGCTCCTGGGGTGCAGCATCTTGAGCAAGATACTGCAGCATCTTGAGCAAGATACTGAACCCCAATTTGCTCCTGGTGGCTGTTCCATTGGTGTGTGAGTGTGTTAAAAACTGAGTAGCAGGTGGCACCTTGTATGGTAGCCTCAGCCACCAGTGTATGAATGTGTGTGTGAATGGTTAATGTGACTACTATACAAGAGTCTGGCGCTATACAAGTGCTGGTCCATTACCATTTACCATGTTTGAATATACTGGGGGGGATGTGTCGTTCCCAGTATATATTATAATTACTGCCTTGAGTTACAGGCTTGAGAGTAGAAGCATTGATCATTGTAGTAGTGGTGGCAGTAGTAATATCAGAAGATGCCATTTGTAGTTTTAAATTATCTGAACCCTTTTAACCACAGACACTCTTTTGCTTGTCGGCATCAATACAGTTTTTATTATTGTACCTGTAAAATGGTGAAACATTCAGTGACTGTAAGTCATTAATACGTGCTCTAATGGATCTGTTTTATGTGTCTCACCAGGCGGAGTGGAGGGACGAGGTGAGGCACCACTTTGAGAAGATCAAATCCGAGGGGACGTGTCTTCACAGGCTGGACGAGGAGCTGATCAAACGACGCAGGGAGGAACTCAGGTTAGCAAAGACATTATAACATGGACACATAAAGAGGATGAACATCTTGATATACAGATGTGGAGATATATAGAGAATCGCTACACCACTTACAAAGATACAAGGATAAACTAACTATTAATAAATCAAACAATTATGTTAGTAGATAAATGTATTAAAGCCCTTCTCCCTCTCCACACAGACATGCGCTGGACATCAGGGAGCACTACGAGAGGAAGCTGGAGAGAGCCAACAATCTCTACATGGAGCTCAACGCCATCATGCTGCAGCTGGAAATCAAAGAGAAAGAACTGCACAAGTATGAAAATTATCCACTGATTTACAGTACCTATAAACCCCTCGGAAGTTTTCATGCTTTATTGCTTTGCGACATTCAGTCAAAGGGAATTTAATGGGGCTTTTGGCACTGATCAACAGTTAAACAGGTCTCTACAAAGTACTCCAAATTAATTAGAAACATAAAATACAAAATACTTGTTTGCATAAGTATGCCCTTTGCACATTTGGACATTTTCCTAATTTCTCTTTGCCAAATACTCAACTCCTGTCAGAGTGGAAAGCCTTTTACAAGTCCAGCCAAAGTAACACATGTAAGTCATTTTCTAGTTAGCGTAAAATGTATGGCACTGTAGCAACAGGAAAACTAGGGTTGTAATTATTCAAATACTTTGCACTAATAGCTTTATCCATCAACATTAGTTAAGCAGTGTTTTTGTAATGGGAGAGCAGGGAAAAGGTCATCCGTGATGTGAAATGAGGGGCCATTACACCCAGTCACACAGGGCCACTACATGTAACAAAGTGCTCTCTTATGCCACACTGAGTATCCATTGACATCCATTAAACAAGTATTGGCTCTGTGTTTAAACATCAGGAGGGAGCAGTCACTGGACAAGAAGTACCCCGGCTGCTTCAAGCACCACAGCTCCAGACAGTCGGCCTCCTCCAACTCCATGGAGAAGCTCATGAAGAAACGCAACGTACCTCAGAAGCTGCCTTCACACAGCAAGAGGTGAGACGGCGAGGAGTTATTTAAATGTGCAGCGTTAATTTGTGGATGTTCTGATCAAGTTGCCCTTGAATATATGTATGTGCGCTCCTCCCACTTTGTTTTGTGACTGCTGCAGCAATTTCCCTCAGGATAAATAGAGTTTAATCTATCTTATCTCGAATGTTATGTAGTATCCAAGGCAATGTTAAAGGTGCCAGTCTATAGCTTATTATTGTCAACAAATCCAATGAAGAGACCAACACCAACAATAAATCGAGCCTTCTAACAAGTATTTCTTGTGTTTCCTGTGCAGAAACTACTAAAACCACACTGTTGAACTGGGTGCTCACTAGTGCACCAAACCCACAGTTTGAAATAGGCCCCAATAAATACGCTATTTACTCCTATTAGAGTAATGTTTGTTATAAACAGGGCTGCTGCTGGCCATTTGTGTGCTCAAAGCAAAACTGCTTTGTGGTTCCTCCCCTTCTTTTGGCTTTTTTCCAACGTAGGATATTTAATTAGTAAAAGTAGAAGCAGTAAATGAACATTGAAATTAATTTGCCCCATCATAGCTTCACGTCGGCATCCCCTACATACAACCAACAATTGCAACACCTACACAGACTGAGACTGTGGACTATTGCATGCAGTGTTTTTGTGCGTTATTAATAACTTAGAACGCTGCTTTGTCACTTTTTGACCCACCTGCCTGAAGCACTGTCCCTGGTACTGAATGAAGCAGAGGAGAGACAGACATATCACATCACTTAGGTTCAGCCATGCTCGCTTTCTGTGATGGTAATGTAAATTGCGGCCCAAATTCTATTTGTTTCATCACCGGACACAGGACAACGTCTGATGCCATCGTTAATTGATGTAGAATACTGATGACAGATGACTTTGATATTTTGTTGGTTTTAAGCTGTGTTGTTAAGTAACCAAAATCCAACGTCTTCCAAATGTCTCATGCCAACATCATCTTCACATAGACTACCACCATTTGGTCGTATGGTATAAAGAACAAACCACAGCATCTGCAAAACGTCATGTTAACATCTAGACAACGTGAAATTCTATGTCGTTAGATGTTTTAAATATCATCAACCTGATTTTCATTCAAATCAAAATTGAATGCCTAACGGACATAAGAGGTCAACGTCTTTCTGACGTCAGTTTGACGTCTGGTGCCAGCAGAGCTTGTAACTATGCACAGAATAATGACAGGGAAATTAAATTTTGGTTAACGAGGGGGAGACAGAGCAGGAGAGCTACCTGGCATGGACAGAAAGACACATTCTACTTTTCATTCATTTTAATTCATAATTAATTTTATTATTTAACGCAGTTATGTATATCACATTGCCTATAATGGTCTAAATGTGTCTATTGTAGTTTTGATTCAAATTTAAATAGTTCATTATTATGATTACTGAACATTAGCTGTTTTGGTGCCCCCTCTAGCACTTGATGCCCTACACACAATCAGTGTTGAGCCTGTACTAATGGGCTGAAGACTTAGTGACACAAACGGGATAAAGGTGTTCAAAGTATTCACAGTGAATTTATTGACAATAACAAAATTAAAGAATATCACCAGCCTTATCCTTCAATTTAAAAAGTGAAGAGTGCACAACATGAACTAGCATCTGTCCGGCAATAAATATATTTAAAAGTTATTTTTTTCCTCCTGTTTAATATTTGTTCTGTCCCTGTCCTCTCCAGGCCAGACTTACTAAAGTCAGAGGTCATCCTCCCCAAACTGGACTCTTCCATGACCCAGGTCACAATCCCCAACAAGGGCTCTACCTCCCCCGGCCGCTCACGCCGAGGAAAACCCCGCTACAGGAAGGCTGGTAAAGGCAGCAGCGGGGACTTGGCTCAGCTGAAAGCCACACTCTCCTCTTCATTAGCCATGGTCAACGCCACCTCATCTGTTCCCAGCAGCAAGCAGCATCTAGACCCCAGTGCGGCCCTCAGAGGCCTGCAGCACGATCTGCTGCTCAAGAAGATGTACTCCTCAAGCCCGGATCTCATTTCAACCACATTGGAGGCTGAAGGCCGGAGGAAGGGGCAGGTCGGGCCGGGGCTGGACAGAGCGGGCAGCCAGAGCGCCTCAGCTGGGCTGGGGGAGAGCAGAAGGACTGGAGGGCAGGAGGAGGGGCCGGATGTGGGTGTAGGGACTGACGACCTGGCAGAAACACCTCCACGCAGTGACACGCCCAGCGAGGATGCAGCTTCTATCCCGTTCTCCAGTAGCCCTGACTCACCGTGCGGCAGGGGAGCGGCTGCAGGGAGGGCGTCTGTGCTCGGGAACTCTCGTGTTTCTCATGAGGGTGAGGAGAAGGAGGAGGGGACGGTGATCACACGCTCACCAAGGAGTCAGCGCCTCACTCCTGCAGCACTGCTCTACAGGGCAGCAGTCACACGCAGTCAGGTGAGACTTTAACAGCATTGTTTAGGACACAATGAGACAAGGCAGCGTCTAATCCTAGCCCAGTTTCATGAAATCATTTTGACTTAAGTTCTGCAACCTCACTGCTAGATGCCACTAAATCTTACACACTGGACCTTTAATTAGCTGTGAGAGGCTGCACTGGTCCAAATCAGCACCTGCAGAGATGTCAAACAAGAGAAAAATGCTGCTGTGATGATTTAATGTATTTGCTTTAATAATTGCCACTAACTAAGTCCAGATAGTCAAAACATTGTGGTCTGTAATTTGCTGAATATAATTGCCACCACTCCATTAGGTACAGTCCTCATTTTTATGCTACAAATACGGATAACACACGCACACAAAAAAACCCCACACAGAGTGCGTTGGATGTTTAAGTGGTTAATTACAGGCCACTTAATTAGTGGTTACTGCCACCTGTGCCTTTGTCAGTAGCTGTAGTTGCAACTTCAGTTTTCTGTTTAATGCATTAACTGAGGGTATTTGCATGTTTCATAAGTTAGAGATAAGTGATGGACATGTTTAAGTAGCCAAAGACATTGATGATTCAGTCGTCCCCAAACCTCAGTAACTTTGGCTCCCTCAAAGTGGCACCATGTACAGTTTGTACCCAGGGTGTCTTCAGGGTCGTATCTTACCAGACAGCTCAGGAATCTTGGCAGGAATGAGGGTAGTTAATGCACACCAAAACAGGGAATTGCTGGGTTTCATACATGCTGTTAATTTTCTCCACAGAGACGTGGGGTGTCATCAGAGGAAGAGGAAGGAGAAGTGGACAGCGAAGTGGAGTTGCCAAGGAGACGGTACGAGTTGTTAAGCACACTGAATATAATTATTGAAGATCCACTTTATTTACATTTCCATCTGCGCACCCATATAAAACAGTTCATTTTCATCTTCCTAACACAATGAGAAATTTACATTTTAAACACGTGTGGGCGTGCAGGGCCTTTAACACACAGTATGTGAATATTAGCAGCACACAATGAAGTGTGATCCTTATATTTATAATATAATGCCACATGTGGCTGAAGAGACAGAAACGAAAGCATTGTTGTAACTTAAAGTGGTATTTTTCAACCTGAACTTGTTTTTCGACTCCTAAGCAACTCCTCGAAACAACAATTTTTGGAACTGGCCCAGTATTGAGGGGGAGCGCTGCAACCACGGCCGCAAAACTGGCTGCAGTTTAACCACTCAGGGCAGGTGCACCCATTCAGTTTACGTCCATTAAAAGTGCTTGTTTTTGCCATTAACAGGCTCAGATTGTTATAATGAGTGTCTTACAAAATACGGAAAGGACACTACAGAGAAATTAAATGTTTTTTTTTTTCCATACCTTTTCACTCGTTCCAGTCTGTTTTGTGTCCAAGTGTCCAAGGAGAAATGTCATTGAAATCTCACATGATTTGACTTAATGCAGGAAGAAAAAAATGGAGAGAGGAGTGCCAGGAAGAGTATGTTGTGTTGAAGTACAGAGAGCATATCTAAGTCTTATCCAAACTAACTTAAATGTCAATGTCATCTTTTTTCATCCATCATTTCTCTCTTTAAATGCAGAAACACCATTAAAAATAGAGAATGTTTGTCAATATACTGTATTTTTCTCTTTCCTATTACATTACCAGGCGTCCCGTGAGCATGAGTAAGTGCCAGTCCCTGTCCACCTTCAGCTCAGAGAACTTGTCGGTCTCAGACGGCGAGGAGGGAAACACCACCGACCACTCCCACAGTGGCACACCGGACGTCGTCAGCACCAACACCGACGAGCGTCTGGACGACAAGAGCGACGACTTGCTGTCTCAGGGCTCGGAGATTCCCGCCGACCCGTCTGACCCGACCCAGCTGGGCTCTGACGGGCTGTCTGAGAAGGAAGCTATTCTTAGACAAGTCAAGACCCAGCTCGCTAGTAACGACCATAATTACGAGGTAGGCAGCAGAGAGCGAATAAAAGGGGAATGCATGATATGGATTAATATATAGGGACATAGAGATATTACTAATAGATACTAAGATGCAGATAATAGATCAGGATCGAAATTTTGTGGTCAGAATGATGCTTGTATATCAGTTACTCACCCTGTGTTGTTTTGGAGGCTAGTAAAAAGTGCATTACAGTAGTCACGTCGGCTTGAAATAAAGGCAATCAATTTCTTGGCATCTTTTTCATTCAGAAATGGTCGTACCTTATGTACAAATGATCATTTTGTGGGTGAAGTACTTCCTTTAAAGACTCTCTTACTGTTCTAACTCAGATGATTTGTGTTTTTGCTTCACACCAGGGCCTGTATGACGACTCAGACTGTGACAGCGCAGAGCTGGACCACTCAGGCAGTGCAGAGCCCAGCCAACCACCAGCCAACTGGTGAAAATCTGACACCTCAACCTACTCAAAACTCCTGCCGATCGGCCTGTGAATGTCTCTTTTATTCTGAAAGACAGAGTCATGATCGGGGACATTGCAGAGAGGCCTGTATCCGTTATCACAAGCAGGAACATAAAACAAATCCTCAGTGAGTGGTGTCAAATCCTGGGGAAAAAACACAGGCAGAAAATCCCATTTCATTTGAGATAAATGCATCACAGTGATGTGAAACTGAATTGGGGCACTAGCCGAGCTGACGGAGCAGCAGCCACCACAGCAACTGGCCCAAGATCAGCTTTGCAAAAACACCTCAGCGTCAGAAGCCTCGGTCAAAGAGGTCATCCACAGGACTGTCTATTAATGTCTCTCATCATCTTCCATGTCAATATTTTTACCTCCGTTAGGAAAATGTGTCATGTTACATTACATTGTGTCATATGAGAACATCTAAGATCCTATCAGGGCGTCATTATATTTTATGTCTTTATTATCAACATCACCAGGACTGTCACTGATGTTGCTGCTTGCACTTACTTTATGAAATGATTTCCTCGTGATCATCATGTCATATTGCATTTCCACTCAAAACGTTATGCACTGACTAATTTATTCTTATTTTACAGCGAATTCATTGACATTCTTTACAAAAAAAACACGTTTACATTTTTTATTTATATTTATGTCATGGATTACGTTTCCATTTTCTACTCCTGCGTTTTAATATCAGTGTAAATATGTGATGTTGTAAAATGAACAAATTTTTAAAATGTGAGATTGTATAATTTAAAGGTGCTGATGTTTCTAATTAGGTGGCGCTATTCTATTTGAACCTCAAAAAAGCTTATGGTAGGAGGATGTACTGTAGCTGCTGTTTATGTCTGAGCATCGAAACACAGATATAAAGAGGAACGTGTGAACAAAGAAAAAGCAATATGTCTGCTCTGGTACAGCTGAGTTCATTCAGGACTGATGGGCTTTTTTTATTAGTATTGCAGTGTTTACTGTATTAAAATGCAATACCAGTTTGAAAATCCCTCTCTGAGCATCTAGGGGTGTATATAGCATCAGAAAAGCATGCCTGTGATAAAGTACAATGTTTGTGACTCAGATCAAAATGAAATATTAGATCCATGCAGCAGGAGAAAGACTGTAGATTTCTGACAGCGACTGAAGGTACATGGATGACAGGGACACAAAACATCAAAATGGATCTCAGAATAACTGAGAATGATCACATTCATGGTTTTCTGCTTTCTCTCAGTTCTACCACATAATGTTTGCAGTGTACCAGCACAGAGGAGCTGATTAGTGTTTAGATTATTTTGGGGAAAACTTAACGATGTGGCTCATTTAGTCAAACATCCTTTTCTCGTGTTGTTTTAGTACGTACATCACAGAGAAATCACAGGTTTATCTGTGGCAGGAGACTTCAGCTCAGTGTTGTAGTACTTAATATCATACTTAGTCTCAAGACCACTTTTTGAAGGCAGCGGTTGGACCAAGTCATTGTTGTGCAAGACTCAAGTCAAGACATGCAAGTCCCAAGTCAAGTCCTAAATCAAGACTGGCAAGTTCCAAGTCATAAAGTTTGAGTCTCGAGTCCTCAACAAGTCATAATGCACTCTTCACAAAATGTAATGCCGTTTTAACAAAGAAATAATATATGTATATACAATATACAAAAAAAAATTACTACTACTACTTGTTTTGCTTACTGCAGTATTTTTTTTTTAAATTGACCACCACATAGTTTTTTGTACATGAACAGAATTATCTTTGGTATTATTTTTACTAACTAGCGCTCAGTAACATAACTTCTCCAACGTTCTCTCCTGCAACTTGATTGGATGCTGTAAAAAAAAAAACGAAAAGGTTGATATGGGATTTCAGTGTCGACTTGCTGGGAATGAGTAGCATTTAGTTAATTGATTCAGAAAATGAAGGGAATCACAACATACTTTTTAATCTTTGGATCTGGGCAAAGTATCAAGTATTTTAAAGTCACATGGCTCAAGTCCAAGTGAAGTCACTAATCATTGGTGTTTAAATTCAAGTGGAGTAACAAGTGTTTTTTGATTTTGTCTAGTCTAAAGTCATCAGATTTGTGACTAGAGTCATTCTTGTTAGACTCGTGACTCATCTGTTTGAAGTTCTCATTGTGGACTCAACCACATTTTTACTCAGTCTTGGACAAAGAGGACTGGGAATTTTATTTCAAGACCAGTCGAGACCAAAACTGCGAGGATATCACTCAACTGCCTGTGCAAAAATGGTGTGATAGATAAAGCTTAAATCCATTTTGGAGATCAATTTGAGGAGTGCCTATGGGTTTGCATGTTCCACTCTCTACGTGTGTAATGCAATGCAGAACTCTGGTCTGTTTTTGGTCTCGTCTGTCTCGATACACTCTGGTCCTGGTCATGACTTGGTCTCGGTTTAGATGGTCTTGACTGAAGCACTGATTTAGCTTAGTCAATAATGCTGGAAAAAAAGGGAACTTTTATTCCCCCTTTCCACTCGTAAAATCAATTTCCACCTAAAAATGAGGGCTGTGATGTCATGACTGTTTTCCCTCAAAACAGCAGATTAATCCAGATAGTGAAGCTTTACAAGCCCATAATGTGGTTCCTCCGTTTCCAGACAGCTCACTGACATTTTCAGCAGCTAAAATTTTGGCCACCAGATGTTCATCTTACATTAATGTGTAAGGGCTCTCTCTCATAACAGACATACAACTCTGGTTTTGATGTACTTAATGTCCCTTGACGTGCTTTCTTATACACACGTGGTTCAATTTGACTGTACAACAGCACATTGCATCCTGTTCCATTAATTTAAGACTAATCAGGTCCCACTCAATAAGCTACAAATGGCAGCTTCTGTTTCTTATTTATCTGGTGTTAAACTTTCAATTTTTAAAGCATTTTAAACTGATTGTGCCCCCAAGATTTGAAGCTAGAGATCCTCCTGCAGGAAAAAATGTTGCCAAAAAGCAAGACTACTGCCCTCTAGTGTCTCGAATGTGGAGGTACTTGTGTTCCCCCAATGATGCTGATTGCAACAACCCTGTATAAACTGAAACGTTTGCTTTTTATATCACTGTACCTGTACAATAAATATATTTAAGAAACAATTTAAAATAAAATCAAACATGAAAATCCTTAACTTGTGTGCTCAGTGTGCTTTGTATGGTGACAAACCGCTCAAGACAAGTTGTGGTTTGAGCATTTCACATCTTTATTTCTGTATTTTTTAAACAATGTTGTGGCACCCAGGTCTACAGTCTCAAAAAACGTGCACAAAAGTTTTTTTTTCTTTCCTGCAAATAAAAAATAAAATAATTTTCTTGACTTGAGCAAAGCAAAGAGCAGGAAACTAGTGTTAAACTCACAACCCTTTTCTTTGTCTAGTTCCAGAGCTTCAATGATTTCAGGTCTCAGCCTCATCACATTTAATAGACAGATCAGTCAGTGTCCAGGAGTTAATCCCCCTTTGGTAGTTTAAAAAAAAATATTTCCTCCGTTTAAAACAAATATTCCAACATTTTTTTTATTTTTTTTTAGTATATATCAGTCTTTACAAAAAAAGCGAGGAGAACCCTCTGCTTCCGATCCCTAGAGCCAAGCCCCGATCCCCCAAAAACCTCCCATCCCAGCAAAATATCAACACATGATCTCAGGACTAGGAGAGGGGAAAAACAGGAATGACATGTAGAGGAGGGGAAAAGTGACATGCGTAGTCATACACATCTTAAATTATCTGGATAAATTCAATCGTGAGCATTAGAACATTTGTCGTCATAACCAAATATAAATCGGTGACAGTGCGTTGTACAGCTACGTATTCTCCTCAGTGACACGAGTGTAATCCATGTTACAAGCACTTCAAATTGAAAAGGTGACAAAGGGGGAGAATGCTGTGTATATTTAAAGCAAGTGAGTATGGACATAAAATGGACAGACCGACTTTGTGGAACTGGGTGAGGAAAAGAGGAGGGGTAGGGCGTGTATATATAAACAGAATAAAACAGTCACTCTATTCTTATTTTTGATACTTTTTTTTAATTTTTCCTTTTTTGTCTTTTTCTTTTTAAAGAAAAAAACTGACTGTACAGAACTAAATCTATATGCCTATTCAGAGTTTTCCAACTCTACTCATCTGTGGTGGCAAAGAAAGAAGGGGAAAAGAGCAAGGGATCCATAATAATAATAATAATAATAATAAAAAAAAGTCTAATAACAAATCATTAAAACCTCCAACTCGACTCAAAAGGGGGAATTAAAAACCTAATTGTTTGCTTCTTTCGACTAAAACCAAAAAACAAATGAAATAAATAATGAACTCAGCGGATCAAATCAGTGGCGGTTGACATGATTTTCAAAATGAGGAAGAGGCAGCAATAATATATAAACTCTTAAGTTGGATAGTTGCATTGACTGCTTTATGGTGGCCGATGATATAAAAGTGAGATTTAGTGCAGATGCAGTGTCTTATCAGTTGGCTGCCAGTCCTGTGGCCTCAGAGGAAAGCCTGGAGAGACAGAGAGAGACACCCGGAGGCCAGGGAGGGGAGAGAGAATAAGGCATGCAATCAGACAGACAGGATAAATGTCATTTACTGTACATTACATTAGTAGAATAAAATGCTAGATAAGGAGATATATTATTAAATTTATTCGAGGAAATGTATGCTCTGACATAAATTAAAAGATCATTAGTTCTGTTCGGCTGCTCCTCTCGTCAATAATTTCTCAACCAACAGCTGTTCAGAGTCAGATCTCAAACTCATACTTAATGGCCTGTGGATTAATGGAGCTGTTTTAAATTTTGATATCATAACTCTTATTTGCTTTCTTGTAGAGTAGAGAAGTTTGATAGCAGCCGGTTAGCTTAGCTTAGCATGAAGCAGTGGAAACGGGTCAAAACAGCTAGACTGGCTCTCTACAAAGATGGCAAAATCTGACTCGGCACCTTTAAGGCTCATCTGATTTGTTTAATCCATGGAAAATTATAAATAAATAAATAAATAAATAAAATAAAAATAAAACAAAATTTTTAAAAAGTTACTCCAGGGCCCAGCTGTTCAAAAAATAAATAAATAAATAAATAAATAAATAAATAAATCAAATATTTATTTAAAAAAAAAAAAAAAAAATCAGCTAATTCATCTTACTTGTGTGCATGAGTTTACTTAGTGTTTTTATTTTATGAGACAGTAAACAGAATGGGGGATGCAATTATATAAAGTAATTTTGACTGTGTCTTTGTTATTAATATGAAGTAATAAATTGAAGTTAAAATTAAGTAATTTTCCTTTGATACTGACAGCTATTTGGGGGATTATTTTAAAATGTTTTTTTTAAACTTTACTGTACTGAGAGACTTCATATTTAGCCTTAGGTGTATTTGATCACAGGCATGGTTAATTAATCAGGTGTACAATCTAAATAAATGCATGTATATTTGACTTATTTAACAGTTGTATTGCATTTTGTTCCTGAAATCCAGCCTGAATCCACCCTTCTGCTGTAATCAGGATAATCCCAATTTTGATTTGGATCACAGGTATCGCAATCCTACTAAAAACTTTTAGGATAAACTGAGGGTTTGAACCAGACTGAAACACAAACTTGATTACATGATCTAACACGATTTCTGAATTGTTTTTTTCTCCTTTTGATCAACACGTTTTCATGATCTGATCCTAGCCAATAGCCGAAATCCGATCAGGTAACTTCTTAAAAACTGGGCCCAGGAAGTCACTGCTCCTGGCCAGCACTGTGTTGTTTTTACACGACTTTATACAGATTACACAAACAAGATAAAACCTGTTGATTACTAATCTTTAGAGGTGCTGGTAGTCTGATTTTATTACCTTTGGACAGAGCCAGGGCCGCTGTTTTCCTGCCGTTGTGCTTAACTAAGCTAACAAGCTGCTGGCTCTTGCTACATATTCAATGTGCAGACATGAGAGCAGATTCATCTTCTCATCTAACTCTTGACCAGAAAGCAGAGTGTTTAACTGTCCTTTAAAATTAAGCTAAAGTGGTTGGATGTTTTTGTGTTGTTTACATCAACAAAATGACCTAAATAAAGGGTGGTTGGGTGCCGTTGATACCTGAGGGCAGATTTACTTGGAACTGAAATTACAATTGCTTCTTATACAAGCTAAAATAAAATCATCATGATACATATACTCTTCATCATAACAGCCAACAATAGTCACTTAAAATTCACTACAATAAAACTATTCCCATAAATACAATGTGACATCTTAAAGAGAGCCGCTACCTGAGCAGAGCTTACACAAAGAGAGAAATGCTTCAGTAAATCAGCAAAGTGATTCACCGTCCATGCAAAGTTCAAAGTCATTTAAAAATATAATGCACTCAACATGTCATTTCTTTGAGAGACAGGCCAAATCAAGCTACAGATATCTATTTTATAAATATGGCAGCAACCACCTGTCTGGCTGTTTAACACTTGTTTGTGTGCATTTGTTTTGTGTAGTAAGCGTGGCATGGCACAGCCAGATACAAAAGCGAGTGCAGGTACAGACAACAAAGAGCTTTGTCAGTACTTTAGTAGTAGATGACTTATGTTTCCTTCGTTAGTAAGGGGAGAGCCTTCGCCTTTTAGACTTGGAGCTCAGCTCTGGGGCGATTTTGGGCTCAGCGGGTATTGGGTGAGCGGGGTTACTGGCCCCGCTGACAACATGGAGGGCCAGGAGAGGGAGGGGCTTGAGACTGAGGAGACTTGACACACAGGCAGGAGAGCTGGGGAGCAGGGAGTCAGTGGAGGAGGAAGAGGAGGAGGAAGAGGAGGGAGGAGGCGGCCCTGGAGCCAACAAGGACAGAGGGATGGAGGCTGAGGGGGGCACCACACAGGAGGAAGAGGAGGAGGAGGAAGAGATAGCAGCAGAGGAGGTGGTGGTAGTAGTAGTAGTAGTGGTAGTAGTAGTAGTAGAGGTGGAGGGAGGGCACAGGCTGGTCTGTTCAGGGTTCAAGGAGGAGGAGGAGGGAGGAGGTTTAGAGGACTCTACACTGTAGAAAGAGAGACAAGGAGAGAGGGACAACACAGTCGGGATGGGTCACAGGGCAGGCTGGTGAGCAGTGGGTGAGGGTGGCGGGGGGGGTTAGGAGGTAGGAGGGGGGGTGAGGGAGGTGTGAGGGGGGAAATCACTCACAAGACAACAAGCTTCATCAGAAATGAATGTGTCAACCCAAAAGGTAAAAAGAGGATTAAAAAAAAAGAATCACATCTCTGGTGATGGATTGATGTGGAGCCAAGAGAAGGGGAGAATAAGGGAAAAAGCACAAGTGCAGACTGACAGAGAGCTAGCAACACCAGTGATGATTAGCAGTAGCCAAAAATACCATTAACCAAATCATTTGAATTTGAACACAAATCCAAACTAGAAAAAGAGCAGCAGGTAGGCCTGTCATGTATCTGCATGATATTAGCTTCATTAAATATTTTATTCTTTTGTGGATTACTGCAGGACTGTGACATTAGGAAGAATCTGATTAGTTAGGCCAAAGTCAGTGGAGTTTTTCATTAACATTTATAAACTACCAATTCAAACAAACTAACTGCACAACACATTCAACGTTTGGACTTTTTTTAAAGCCTGTGACTGCATCAATCACCTGTTGGGAACTAACGTAGTATTTAACTGGTTATCTCACCTGGCGTTGATGAGGTACTCCGCCAGACTGATGCTGGCAGGTGAGCCTGTGATGGTGACCTGGCGGTCAGTCGATCCATCCACTGGATTTGCAATCTTGATCTGGGCGCCCGACATTTGCCTGATCTCGTTGATCTTAGCTCCCTGGCGGCCAATGATGCACCCAATAAGCTGCAGTGGAGAAGAGCAGGAGGTTGAGCGGTAGGAATACTTAATAGACTCTGAAGGATGCAATGAATATGTGTCTCTGGTAAAGGTAGATCCTTGGATTTGACAGGCTTGAATTAAGATCGCACTGATTGTGAAATTCTGGGCCTTTTCTGCTGTTATTTATTTTGTTTTTGTTGTTATTTACTCGCCTTTTGTCCCAGGGAAAGGGAGAAATCTTCATCATGAAAAAATAACCAAGCTGTTTTAAAGTCATTAAGCCATTCACTACACTTTTTTGACTGAGCATTACCTTTAATATAACCTTTCAC